CAAAACTTTTCTATCACTAGCATTTTCAATTATGCAATTATTCTTATCAAATACAACTCTAAAACCTTTATCACATAATTGACTAATGCTAAGTAAGTCATGCTTTAAACCATCAACTAACAATACATTTTCAATGAGAGTACAAGAGTCATTACCTATAGTACCCTTACCAATTATTTTACCCTTCTTGTTATCACCAAAGGTTACTAAGCCACCATCCTTCTTGGAAAGATTGACAAACTTGGATGGATTACCCGTCATGTGTCTTGAGCAACCACTATCCAAGTACCACTTATTTTTCTTGGAGGCTTTCAAACAAACCTAAAAACAAAGATATTCAAAATTGACCTTTTGGTACCCATACTTGTTTGGGTCCTAGAAAGTTAGTATTCACAAATTTAGGAATCCATTTCATATTTGCATTCATATTAAAGACATTGTATTTAGATAAGTAACAAGAATAATCTTCATGTCCAAACTTACCACACGAGAAACAAACGACATTATGCAAGAATTTATTTCTTGGACTAAATTTGTGTATTCTATTTTTATTCGAAAAATTATTTTCTAAAACATTGTTAAACTTTGTATTTTGAGAAACTTTTCTTCCTAAATGAATATTTTGAGAATTTTTCAATTTAAAGCACTTAGGTCTAATATGACCTTCAACACCACAATAATGACATATAGGCACAAATCTAGATTTATCATACTTAGATACAAATTTACATGTGTTAGATTTAGACAAGATAGGGGATGCTTTAACAAATATTGTTTTAGAACTTGAAGGTGTAGAACATTCATCAATATAGCCTAATCCTCTTTTATCACCATATGACTTACCTCCTTCAAGTATTTTATCTAATTTTTGAGCACCTATTGTTAACATTTTAATAGATTCCTTAGCCCTACCAAGTTCTTGCAAATTATTTGATTCATTCTCTTTGAGCAATTTAATTAATTTATCTTTTTCACCACAATCATGCTCAAGAGTCTTGACTTTATCAATTAATGCATTTTTCTCATCACAATCAAATACATGCTTTTCACAAGGTACATCAATTTTAACAATATTATGATCCTTCTTCTTTAAGCAAGAAATTTCATTTAGTAAAGACTTATTTTCAATAATTGAAGTCTTATATTTCTTTTTAAGCACAACATACTTTGAACTAAGTTTTTCTAAATCAATTGTCATCTCATCAACAAGTTTAAATAATTCATGATAAGAAAGAGATTCAAGAGTTACCTCATCTTCTTGTTCATCCTCTTTGTCACTATGAGCCATGAAGCAAAAATTTGCTACTTCTTCATCACTTCCACTTGCACTTTCATCACTATCATCCCAAGTAGCCTTCATTGCTTTCTTCTTGGATTTCTTAGATGATTTGAGGAGAGGACAATCCGTTCTTATATGACCCGGCTTTTTACATTCATAACATATTACCTCATCGTTTTTGCTCTTTTCACCTTTTGACTCTTTTTGATTTGTGAAATGTTTTTTTAATTGTTTCTTCCTTTTAATAAAATTTTTATACTTACGTGTGAAGTAGGCGACATCATCTTCATCAAGGACGTCCTCATCTTCAGAGTCAACTTTGATGGACTTTAGGGCTATACTTTTCTTCTTTTTGGATTCTTCTTCCATGTGCCCGTTCATGGTAATCTCATGTGTCATGAGAGAACCAACTAGTTCATCCAAAGGAAGCTTTGTGAGATCCTTTGCTTCTTGAATCGCCGTCACTTTTGCCTCCCAACTTTTAGGCAGAGACCTAAGAATTTTTCTTACATTTTCGGAAGTAGAATATACTTTTCCAAGATTTTTCAAAGCATTTAAAATATTAGTAAATCTAGTAAACATATCACCAATAGGTTCATTTTCCTCCATTTTAAATAGTTCATAATTATGAACTAACATGCTAATTTTTGTTTCTTTAACTTGATTGGTTCCCTCATGAGTTACTTCAAGAGTTTTCCAAATTTCATATGCCGAAGAACACATACATACTCTATTAAATTCATCATTACTTAAGGCACAATACAGACAATTGATAGCACTAGCATTCAAAGAACATTTTTTCATATCATGCTCATCAAATTCATTTTCTAATTTAG